TCCTTTTTCATACTGCGCGTATCGTTACACACAGTACATGAAGGCATGTCCATTGGGACACGCCTGGTGTCGGTTCTTCGAACCACAATAAAGAACTTGGGCGATATAGCAGCGCAGTCAGAGGGAATGAAAAAAACTGTAGAAAACCCTCGGGTTAAGAGTTTGGTCAACTTCGTAATGCGGCTGCGCAAGGCAATGAGAGAGTGAGCGCGGAGAGGAGAGTTTGAGACGAGAGAGCGCAACGGCTGAGAGACGTCAGACAACAGCTTGCTGCCGACGGGGAAAATTGAAGCTGTTGAAGCTGTCTCTACTTACAGATATTACACTTTCTATCTATCTATTTGAAAGGTTTGAAATTAACCCATGTGTAAATAATTAATTAACTAATCTATTAATTAAATAGAGAAGTACATAAAACACACCAAAGAGTTGATAAATAAAAATAAATAGCAAAAATAACGCGAACAAATAAATAAAGTAATAAACTGTCAATAGAAAGATACAAAACAAACAAAATACAGTGTTGGAACATCGGCCGTTGAAAACAAACGAATACCGACCTGATTTTCATCGAAATCCGCGTCCGGTACCGATAACCGTCGTTGGCGTCCAAGACGTTTCTTTCGGGTCGCATCGGCCCTCGACGTATGCGTATGTGAGTTGCCCATTACTCTGAAGAAAAACTACTCTTTCATATATAAATATTCCACCTATCAACCTCGAACGGCAGAAGAAACAAACACAAATAAGAACAAAGAATGCCGAGGTTACAAGAAGAGAGAAGCTGGTGACTACTCCTTCAGATTTGCAAAAAACAGATGCAAAATGACGTCATCTTCACAGAGAACGGAATACAATACAAATTTTAGATGATGGCGTCAAAAATGCAAGGAAGTGGGAAACATTATGGAAAACAATGAAGTATGTGGATATTGCAGAAATTGTGAGTAATAGAGAATCCCCACGTCCCGAGCTTGATCCCGCATCTCTTGTTTTCCATACACGTTTGCTATCACTTACCTAACCGGGACACCAAATCACTTTAACTCAGCTTTTTGATGGTATATTTACCACCAGATTGGTCCCCCGTCAACCGCCGGGACCTTCCTTTCCTGCGCAAGCTTTCTATCCTCCGCTATGGTCCCTTCCTCCTGTGACACCAACACCTCGTGGAAGGTGACGCGTATGCAACAAAAAGGTGTTCATATAGTAGTGGGCATCGTCATAACCATGACGTGACAGTAGAATATAAAGGATAAAGCATTTGCCGTTGATCAATCCCTTTTTGGGATGCGGCACGCATTCTACTTCCATTTGTACATTCGTAGTGGCGTTTGAATGCGATGTGGCCTATACAATGACTTGCGGGGGCCAGCCGATGTACAAGTCAGTGTTTTTATCCTCCCAGACAAGTCTGGTACCAATTAACCGACCCCGGAGGGATGGAAGGCTTGGTTGGCCCGGGCGACTGATCCCGGACCGCTCGCGTGGTAAGCGTGCCATTCGCCTCTACACCACTTCCGCCCGTTTATCAAATAGGAGGATAAAATAGAATAACTCATCAACGCTCACAGGTAAATATGTATAACGTGATGGTAGCACACTTGTTCGGAAATGGAGAGATGCGGGTTCGAGCCCCGCCTGAGCCAAGAGATTTTGCCCACAACTCAGCATTTGTGATAATTTCCGCTTGGCGGACCTCGTCGAAAACCAGTAGCTATGTACCAAAAACAAGCCGGAACGAAATAGAAGGAAAATTCAGAAAATACAAAGAAAATGAGAAAAACAGCAATTTTGCACAGGCGCAGAATTGATGAAAGAAAAAACATTATAAAGAAAATGGATAGGAGAAAAGCGATTTCGCAGACATCTGGCAAACACGAGTCGCCTTGGGAGCGTCCTGATCAATTTAATTAAAACCATGAAAGTCACGTTGTTTTGGTTGTTTTGTCACAGAATCGTAATGGAATGTTTGGGATTGAACACATAAACTGGATGATGAGAATAAGCAAAGAGGGTTTGTATAAGGGCATAAATAAAATCTTTCTCATAACTTAACCAAGTTTTCGATATTTACGTAATCAGGTGAGTGAACTCCTGGGACGTAGGAATTCTTTTGGTACATTTCAAATTATTTTGGAAAGGCCTCAAAGAGGAGCTGGCCCCGTAAATGCTTTCTGGGGACCATACAAATCTGTTGCTCTATGAGACTTCGTATGCATTTATCTCGGCTTTTCTACGGTATATTTACCGTAGCTATTCACCGTGAAACGGGAGTGGAGTAGTGGCAAGTGGCGCAGCTTATCAAGAGCACAGTCAGGTGATCATATTCCGGGTTGTGCGCCATCTAGACCGGCCAAGCTTTCCAATCCTCCTCGGTCTAGCTGATACACTCACCGGTGCACACCCTGCGCAAAAGTAGCAGTTGACTTCCATCCCTTCCTCAACCTCTATCCACTTTTTTCAGTCTCATGTCAGTCTTTTTCGGTCTCCGGTTCTTCTTGGAACCGAGTTATGAAATTTCGTGGCAAACTCCGCCCACTTTGTTGCACAACGCACCTTCAATAACCGTTTAGGTTTTCCTCCTTCTCAAACCTCCTCACACGTTTTTCGGTCTCTAACACTTCTCAGAGCCGAATTATGAGGTCTTGTAGAAAACGCTGTCCACTTCACGGCACGCTCCGCCCATTGTGGGCGGCCTCCGCTCACGTCATGTATGCTGGAAACACCTTAGACATTGCTCCCCTACACCAATTTTTTTCTGCTCTGTAGGCTTCTCTTGACCGATTTATGGGGTGTCCCCCAAGAGGCCCGTCGCGCGGCGAAGGAAGAGACGCAGACGCGGCAAAGGACGAGTCGCAGCGCATACTGTAGCGGTTAGGCGTCAGGTTAAATAGAGTGTACCATACTACGTCTCATATCGCACAGCACGCGCTGCGACTCGTCCTTTGCCGCATCTGCGTCTCTTCCTTCGCCGCGCGACGGGCCTCTTGGGGGACACCCCGATTTATGAATTTTTCATTAAGCACCGCTTTTCTAGAAAACGTCCCGCCCATTGGGAGTGGGCCTCCCTAATGCGATCTGGCCTCTCAATGCACAAGTTTACTCATTTTTCCATGGTATCTCGACTGTTTGGGATCAAATTTGAAATTTGGTCGTCAGTACTTTTCATTTCGATGCACGCCACGCCCACTGTGGGCGGGGCTCCGCTTAGCTGATGTGTGTTTTGTACTTCGTGAGACCTTGCCCACCCATCCCACACTTGACCCGGTCTCTCCAGGTAGATCTCCAGGAGGTGGGGAACTTCTACAACGACACTGTGACAGACAGGCGGAGCGGTTTATGGGAAGTAAGATCGAAAGGGTTGTAATTTTCGCAATTGACGTTGGATGGCGACG